TATTTATTCAATATACTGTTATTGAAATCAATATTTTTTAAAAAGATTTTATTTCTTTTTTTATTGATATTTTACTTAAATAATTTCATAAAAATAATCAAAATATCAAATAAATGATGATTTATGGTTAGGATATTATAATTATGACACGTTACAAAAATCATTACTAGTTTCAAATATTTAAACTCGCGGGTACTCTGTGAGCCTTTCACGGAACCCGAGTGCTCCACGGAACACCATTTGGGAACACCTGTATGAATTGTTCACCTTTATTGTTGATGTTGTTGACTTATGTCTGTTTAGGCAGAGGGGGTGCGATAGTTCTTGTTTTCCAGTGGCGCAGTTTTGCAACTCAACAGATTTAACGTGCATCAGTCACTTTACTACACGGGGAGTCTTTGGGCGGCGGGGTTCGAACCCACGAACTCTCGGACATGGGCCCAGCCTACTATCCCGACCTACCTTTATTGTTCCCCGGATCATTGTGGAATCTGGTCCCTCATTTTAAAATCTGGGTTTTATAAGTTATAAATTCGCCATGCCATCAGTTTATCCAAAGCAAAATATTTTTCCATACCAACAATAGTGTGTTTCAATGAGCACAGTAAAAAATTAAAAAAAAATCTTATAAAAACAATAACAATTGATGAATATGCTGAAGCAGTTTATTTCTAACAAAAATAGAACAAGTACAACGATTTTAACATTTAAGCTTACAAATACAATACAAAATAATTTGCATACGGACAGTCATTTTGTAACATTTAAGCTTTATAATATATCACACGACAACATAGATATCGAACAGTAAAGATTGTTCTTAAAACTATCACATTGAGATATTGATATATATGTGTATAAAATTTGGCACTAATACAAAAAGAAAAATAGCACAAGTATTGGCGCGGCACATCACAATAATTAGCGATTGAATTCCGACATTTGATTGTACTTGCTTACTTTTTTCCCCACTGTCTAAAAATATCACAAATTTGAATCTTTGATCGTGATTGAAAGTGATAATGCAATATTTGATATATTGCTTGCATGAAAAAATTTAAAAAAATTTTAAACAGTTTTTTTTAAACCAAAAAATTGTAACTTTATAATTTGAGATTCATAAATACTTCATATAAACAGCACTTCTTCATAATATTTCATGTGAAAAATGGAATCTAATGATAAATGGACAAAATTTTATATTTTTAAAATCACTCTGTATTTACATTAATTGATCATATTATTATGTTACAAACAACGCGGAGCATTTTAAACAATTTTAAAAGTGGCAAATAATTCGGAAATATATGCTTAACTCTAGATAACTAAATTTAAATCAGTGTTAGTTTGTAACTAATCATTCGATTGAAAGACTAGGAATTAGAAACAAGTATATTTATATATTTCCTCAATTTATTTCAAGTAAATTAACTCAACTTTAAGACTTCCATTAAAAAAATAGAAATATGGTAAGAATTATCGTTTGCACTCGTGGCAAATATTGAAAATGTGCTTTCCCCAAACAGCCCTGCTACAACAGTAGCATTTGTATGATAGGCGACTGATTAGATGGAAAGAAAGTACAAATTCTGCGTTTGCGATAAAAGGCAGGAAAACGCAAAAATGCACACAGTGGCCAATTATGGAATTGGCGCAAACTTCTGCATGTTGCAACAAAATATTTGACTGTTAGACAACGATTGCAACAAATTTCAAAAAGTATCAAGAGTACAGCAGTAATAATCACCTTCAATTAACTCATTTTACTGGTTAGGTATTGTGAATGATCTAGTGTGAAAATAATTGGTACAACTCGAACAGTCAAAACCGGCAGGGCTCGGTAGTCTATCAGACGAATGTTTAGTTATCTAGGGTTAATAAACAATAAAAATTGCAATGCATGTGTCTAGCTAAGGAATTGACAGAGCAACAGCACTTAGCAACAACGAGAAATCGTTAAATTAATTTTAAAATATGGTGTAAAAATTTTGATTTTGTTCATTTCTGAATATAATTATAATCCATTTGATCATTTTCACATTAAAAAAAATCTTTAAACATTAAAAAAAACTAAATGGTTAAAAAAAAGAGGGAAAAAAAAGTCGCAAAATCATATTTCTGCGAGAAAAACACACAAACGGTATCGAAATCAAACAAATCACTATTGAGGAATCATGGCTGAAAACAAAAACCTGTTTGATTGCCGGAAGAGTCACAGAAGCGTTGAAAGGTGATTTCATCGGTTTCCCTCTGAAGTTTCATCGGGCAATCAAACTGGTTTTGCTATTTTTCATCCCTACTTCACCATTAATTTGTAGATTTCAATAGCGTTTTTGCTTTCTCCTCACTTTTCGATCGATTTGCAACCGCTGAAGTGTCCAAAAATACATAAAGGTAGAACACTCTACCTAAAAAAACTTTCAAATAAAATTTTCATTTAAGCATCTCAAATCATTTCCTCAAACATTTTTAGATAGAAATTAATCAGAAATTACAGGTTTACAACGTAATCTGTATTTTCTAGTGCATTTCTTATAATATATTTTCAAAACGAAAGAAACTTTTTCACCAACTCATTTTAAATTAAGGAAAATCATAAAAATGAATTTATTGAAATAATTCCTCAAATATACTTCCCCATTTAATATCAATTGTAAACATTTCTGCTATTAAATTTCCTTTGAGGATTAGGCGAAAACCATGGAAAATGCTTATATCAAATTTTATACCACCCTTTGAAGGTTAAATGCTGTAATTCTCTTGGACGGTTTAATTTAATGCACGTTCTTTCACTAAATTTAAAACTTATATCATGGTTTTGAAAAATTTATCCTCGCAGTAAAGGGTATGGAATTAATGTAATGTAATATAGTGAATCGAAAATTTACAAAGAATCCAATTTATTTCATTGCTAAGCTTCAAATAGTTAAGGTTAATAATAGTATAAAAAGCTCAAGCTTGCAAAAAGTACTAAAGCGTAAAAATTTATATAAATATTTATATTAAGACACAGATTCTGTTGAAGTTCAACAGTGTTTAAATAAGAATTAGTTTATATTATCAAAGGATAATAAGATTCATTAAAACACAGTTAAAGCATGCACACACAGCATGCATTCATAGTAATGAATTTAATAATAACCAATAAATTTAAACTGACATGAAAAATGTGTTTCAATAATTATACCGGCTGGATACTAAAGATGAACTCGAGCTCGTTTTAGGAGGTCCGAGCCTGAAGAATTTTAATCCGAGCCCAAGAAATAAGTTGGATAAAGACCAAATTTTGCGATCTGGTTACTCGGCCTTCGATGTCTAGACAAGGAAATTAGTAAATTAAAAACGTTTGTATTATCAAGCTGAGAAAGAAAAGCGAAGAGAAAAATGGAACCAACTGAAATTCCGAGATGACAAAAACTGATGAAAATATAAAGCAAAATAAATAGATTTGACAACTAGTGTTAACCTCACAAAGGAAAAGCCGTGAACAGAAAAAGCAGATCGCTGTAAATGTTTATACCTTATAAATTTAAAATTTTTTATGCTTAATAAATGTTTGTTTAAAAGTTGTAAGAAAGTTTATGAAATTTTTATCAAAAATCCGAGCTCACCCGAAATTTTTTATCAGTAGACGGGTACCGTCTCCTCTCTAATATAAACTTAATTAAAAAATAAACACAACCCCTGTATTTCTCAATATTTTTTGTAGGTACAATAATGCTATTAGTGGAAGTAATTTAAGGTTACCATTTGGAAGATTTATTCTATTTTCTATACCAGATATTTTATATTGGGATTTTTGGAAATTTCTGCCAATGTTTGGTGGGTGACATACGAACATATCTGAATATATCAAAATATTATTTTATAATATCTTATATAAAATAGATTTTGCATTAAAGTGGATGTTGAAAATGAATATTCAACTTTGCCAAAATTTAAAAGGTTTAAAATGTAAAGAAAAGCACACACGAAAGCTAGCGCATTTGCACGGAAATATATTGAAAACAAATCGAGTTTTCTTTAGGCAGTACTGAAACTATGATTACCATTACAAATCAGCCAATAATTCAGTTAGTTAAAGTAGTTGAGATTTTTGAATTTTAACAAACAATATCGTAATTGAGAACTGCAAAACTGCCAAAGTTTTAAAAAGAAATTTAAATTTCGGAGAACATTTTACAAAACACGGTAATGCAAATAAGATTTCAAGAACATGTATTAAAGCTGTGGAATTTTCCAAACGTGCAATTTCGCAAAATTTATACTAATCTATAACATATTTCATTATAATTTCTAAGTAATTATGAAAAACAATTTTCATATATCACCATCAAATATAAATAATTGAATACTAAACTAAAATAAGTGAATAGTTCAAGTTTTAAAATAATCATACTCTACACTCTGTTCTACATACAACATCAAAAGCTATTATGAGATCTACAAAATGTTTTTAGTGTAAACACTTATTAAATCGACACACACTCACAATAACATGGAAGACTAATGTCTCTATGATATATTTTTCAGTTATCTAGAAAGACATCTTAAACATGCATATAAATACATTTAATATCACATATAACTATAAAACCATAACACCAACTTTCGATTTAATTTTCAATAGCATGAAATTCTTAAACGACCAAGAATGTATTAACTATCGAGTTGTATACGACGTATTAGTTATGTTCTAGAATTATGCGTGAAATATTTTTTATACGCCAGGAACATGATATATTTGTTTTATTTTTTTAACAATTAAAATTACTTATACGAATAATTTTATCTCTTGCTTTACAGCAATTTTTTATTCTAACATTTTACGACGAAACTTTTTCTGATAATTTCAAAATTAGATATTATTATTAACGACAATTAAATCAAACTAAACTGAATCAAAATAAAACATCTAATATCACAAGTCAATATCAAATTTTAAATAAATAATAATATCGATGATTAAATAAACGTATAAGAAATGTTTAATGACATACCATAATTCTTTTGAAGATAGTGTTATAAGTCCAGTTTTAAAATAAATTTTCGCTTAAGTCGCCAAACATAAACCATTGATAACACATTTTACTTATATTTTAACCTATTACCAGCAAAAAAACTGTTCAGTGGGCTAGAAAACTACAATAAATCTATGAAAATTTTAAACACATAAAACTAATGAATGTAGTTTGTTTATTCAAAAAGCTCCTGGCTGCCTACTGCTACAAAGCATGTAGAAACCTACATGTCCGAGGGGTATTGTTCTTCCGCAAAATATTCTAAAGCTAATAGGTAGCGGGTACGTATTCCGACATAATCATATAGCTCTGTCCTTGTGCTGTCGCTTCTCTATTTGGCGCTATTTGTCCTTTAATTTGACGAGGTTTTATAAGCATAAGTGCAAAGGATTCATGCAAATGTAATACCTTATCTTAATCGCAGGATGAAGAAGACAGTTTGGTAAGTTACGCCGTTCAGATTGCTTCTTATCAACAATCCAGCATTCTTTCTCTATAGAGATTAGTAAATAATATAGATTACAAAAGGACGTAACAAAGAAAAATGTAAGTTACATTTAGATTTATGAAAGGAATCGAACCCGCTATCTCTAAGCTTCATGGCTTTTGATAGAAAGATGCTGTCTAGAAATATGCAGGATTGGAAATGAAACTGATATTTTATTACCTTTTACGCTTAAAAGAACAAAATTTTTTTAAAGAAAATAATTAAAATCACTGGCGATGTTTATGAGTTCCCCTGCTGTTTCACCTAACTGTCATGGACATTACCGATTATTGTTGTATATGAGAATAAGTTTATTTCTACAGCTAACTGGTGAGTTTCCATTGCAATCTTAGTTTATTTTAAAATTCCTAGCATGCGGGGAGTGAGGAGAAAAATCCATTGCATCATATTAGCTTGGTGATAAAGTAAAGTAAAATTACAAAGCGACGAATATGGTACGGGGATTAGACGACAAGGTAGATGACTAAACTTATATAAACATTCAACCTACCTCTCATTCAAATATGATAGACTCCAAGTGTACTTTTTACTTACACATTGGATTATTGATTGGATTGAGGTGTGAAGTTACATACAATTGTAATACATAAACTTAAGAATAGACTTTGGATATTTAAATAACTCAATAATAGAAAAAAAATTAGCTTTTCGGAATGGTAAAAACTCGATCAAAATAATAAATTATAATCACGGAAAGCTGTAAATACAATAAGATCCGGGACAAAATATCAAAACAAGTTAAAAACATGAAACTCATTTATTTACAATGTAATTCGTTTATGCAAAAAACTGAACTAAAAAAGAAAAGCTGCTTAAAAAATATATATTCATTATTTATTAAAAATATGTATGAGTAACTGATTTCTCTCCCAGATCCCAGTCAAATTTTGGGATAGGCGTAAGTATAAAGTCACACAAAAACTATTTCTAAACTTATGTATTTTTTGCTCGTGAATGAAATTCTTCGATTAGCAATCAACTATTCAAATTGTCTTTATCTTTGAGATTGCTAAATTTAAATTTTCCTTTCTGAATCAAACTGTAGTATCCGAATATGATTTTTGATTGGTTTCATCGAAAATTTATTGATCAATTTCTTGAATGCGAAAATGGCCAATTTCGCTGTCCAGTAATAGACAAACCATTAAATGAGGCAAAACCAAATAAAGAGATAGCCTCTGAGAAAAAAGAGCACAGATACCGTTATTTCATGCCTCCAGTAAATCTCAGTACAAATCCAATTGATCCCGGTATTTCCATTGATAAACAAGAAAAAACAAATACCAAGGAAGAGGAAATAAAAACAGAAAACGTAACATTTTCAACAACTAATCCTGCCGAATTCTCGAACCCTGAGCTTTTGAAACGCATTAAAAAGTTTTACATCGTAACTTCTAACAAGAAAACAGACGCGGAAGTTTTGAAATTCAGCGCAGCTTTCATAAAAGGTGTTTACTCTCCCAACATTCGCAAATTTTTAGTTGTACCATTTCCAGATGATAACTCTTCTGGGGTCAGCATTTCCCATACCAACATGGACTTGAGTGATTCCTTACATAATCAAGCAAAGGATTTTGAGAAAAATTTGTCAAATGTCTACCAGAAAAATGAGAGCACTTTAAAAGATCCAGGTGAATATCTTGATGATGCCTTTGAGGAAGAGTACAGGTACAGCACCCCGTCTGAAAAGACAGAAAGTCCCCGAGATTCCTTAATGAAAAAACCTTTGGAGCGATATGGTGAAGAAAATTGTCGAGCGTTTAGAGATCGTTTAAGTTCCGTCTTACCGACAATAGATTCGTCAATCAATGAAAAAGAAATACATTTTGATGAAGCCGAGCAAAAGAATGATACGAGGAATCTTTGGCAACAATCTGAATCTGATGGTAGTTTGTGGTGTGATTTAGTTGACATTGAATTACCTGTTATTTGTCAAAGTGAGCGATCCAAGTTGAAGGAATTTCCTGAGGTTCAAGAAACGAAAAGTGTTTTTAAGATAATTTTCGAAAAGCTCTTGAAAGCAAAAACGCAAGATAGTTATAATGAGATGGATTATTACAGTAAAATAATGGATTAAAATTTGTTAAGAGATACTTCATAAATAAATTTAATTAAGATACAGTGATACTATTTAAAATTTAACAGACATTCATAAACAAAAGAAAATCTAAATATGTTTTTTCAGTAAAAGGGTATCCGATTTTCTCAAAATCAAAATTAGGCTGGGAATTATCTTTTAAAATCCTCTGTACTAAAATTTGGCTTTAGTGCACAGCATGTAACGATTGAATTGCAGCATGCAAGAAGGGTTTTCGCTCTGATAATAATTATAATATTTTTATTTTTCTCAAAAATAATTAGCAATTATCAAAATAATAGAACTGAAATTCTTTCTGCATGTAGCGATTCAATTGGTAAGTAACGGTTATATCTGAAAGCTGAATGAAAATGCCGACATAAAACTAAATTTATATCGAGGATAGTTAAGATTTTTCTTTGGAAGATTACTAATAAGCAACATATTGCGATTTCTACAATAAAAATAAAATGGTACTTCTGCAATAGCTAAGTACTAGGCGAAATTCCTTGCTCCAAGTGGCTCCAAGTTTTTAAAGTATTCTGAAGAAAATTAGTAGCGATATATCAGCTTAACGCATAAATGATTCTTCACAAAGAAGGCTGTTTGTGCAACCTATGATCGCTATACGCCAATCTTCGTTTTTGATTAACGGATAAGTACTTACAAAATTGTTGACTATCAAATTAATTCCATTACTATCTGCTTTAAGGTTAATTTAATGATTTTTTTAAAGTCTAACAATTGGTTAGGTGTATTGAAGCGAGGAAAGATTTCAAACTTTAGTTTTCTAGAAATTTATAAAATAAAAAAGAATTTTACAATTAGTTAGTTTATGAAGGCATAAGCGACAATCAAAAGCTTTAGAGATATTTTGAGAAAAAATATTTATAAGACTTATTAATTTCTCGATGACCAAAAGATATAAAAATGTTTTTAGTTTTTGATAATTTGCTAAAAGCCGTAAAAACAAATTTTAATAATGGTCAAAATAATACAAATTACAACAGAATTTCTAGCTTATAAAATAAATCCATTTCATTATAAGTGAGGTGGTGGGTCAGACAAGAGAAATACCGAAATTCGGACTGGTTTTCTAATTTTATTAAGGGCATTCTCATATTGGATCCTGATCATGCCAACTGTAACAGTCAAGGCAACCCAGTTTCAAAACCCTATTATTATATTTGCAATATATTTTATAACCTTCGTTGAACTTTTGGGTTCACGACTAATAATGTTCAACTCCGTAGATTTGTAATTTTGAACCAATCCAGAAGACAAGGAAAATTCTGGATCAGTACCCCCAGAGGCATGATTTGTTATGGGAACATGGAGGACTTTGCGACTCAACAGATTCAACTTGCATCAGTCACCATTTACTACACAGGGTGTCTTCGGCCGGCGGGGATCGAACAGATGACCTCTTGGACACGAAAATAAATGTATAGCTTGTCCAGAGGTAGTTAGAAATTACAATCTTCCAATTCCTTCCTTGGTGTTTATTTTCAGCTTCTCGCTAGCCAGTTTCTGGGTGTCGCTAAGACTTGTCTATTTCGGCATAGGATTAGATTTCTCTCTGATGCTCAGCAGTAAGAAACTATCCTCAGACGACAAAAGAACTTCTGAGTTACGAACGACAAACTCATCTTCATGGAATATTCTTTTTAATGAACATTTGTGTTAAAAGGAGAAGAAAACCATTCACGATTACCACGGTTAGAAACAGCATTTACAAGTTAATGCTGTAAATAATGGATGTAAACTAGGACCAGTATTTGAATCCAATTATAGATAAATCTAGGTCGCTTGTGTTTAACATGAATTTTTATTTATTAGATATCATTACTGCTATCAATACAAGGGTACGTTTCTTAGTAGAACTATACAGATTTTCGGCATATGCAAAAATACTAAGGGAATCCTCTATAGCAGTGGAATCTGCCGCTAAGAAAATGAATATCATAATCAATGAAGATAAAACAAAATCTAAGTATTCTGGTAAAGATTCTAATGATATTTTTAATACTTGAAACCTATAATTTTGAATGTGTGAAACATTTCACCTATTTGAGATCCGAAATTGTCAAAATGAAGTTAGTGTAAGAAATAAGGAAGAGAGTTTCAGCTGTTAATCGATGCTTTTATGGACTAAGAAGCCACTTAAAGTCTCATTTAATTGAAAGAAAAACTAAAATATTACTTTATGAAACTCTTAATAAAAATCAGTTTTAACGAATACTTCGGAAACATGGACCCTCAAACAAAAGATGAAAATGCTCTCTCGATATTTGAAAGGAGAGTCCTCAGGACTGTGTGACAATGGTGTATAAGGGGAAAAAACAACTTTGAATTACACTAGTTATATAAAAATGATAACAGCATAAAAATAAATAAATAAACGATGGACAGACTGTCTAGAACAATAATTTACCGTAATTAAAGTAAAGAATTGGATGCCAGTTGTCCACAAAAGGGTGGACTGGAAAAATATTCTAAAGAAGACCAATGCCCACTCTGAGCTGTTGATTAGTTTTCAAAATTTTATATTGATTTAAAGATTGAAACAAATATATCAGATGAATGTTTGTTGTTAATATCATTGAAATAAAGTACGATTATTTTCTGTGCATAAAATATATACTCAAGAAAAATATATACGGAAAATTTATACCTATATTTCACAAAAAATATGTAAAAAAAATATTTTGAACTTTTAGTGCGGAAATAAAAGAAAAATAAGGTTATTATATTGAACTTTTTACTTCAAGTAGGATAGAATTTATGCTATATTAATTCCCAAAAAATAATATCCATCCCAACTAATCAGCAAAATTATGATGAAAAGAGCTTCAACATAAAAAGGTACTTCAATCTAATAGAGCAGCCTTTGCGAGAAATAATTGTTTTAATGACGAATTTTTATTATTATTTTTTTTTCATAAAGTGTTCAATTTGA